AGTTCACCTTAGTCCCAACTAGCGACATCTGGTGAGCGTAAGTTTAGGCCTCATTATTGCGCTGAAGCACTGGATTATAATAAAAAAAAATTGCCCTTTCAGGCCGTATCTACATGATGATAAAATCGAATAAAAATCTAAAATAATTATGTTCAATGTAAAATAATTAATTATCTTATTTTGAACTTCGTTCCGTAATTGGAATCGAATCACACAAGAACTTGAAATAAACCTCCAGTCTCACCCTGTTTCCCCTTGCGCAGTACCAGGCGCCCATGAATCGCGGGGAGACAGGCGAACATAAATCAGACCGCGTCGCTCCATCCATCAAGTAGCGTCCCGCTATCAATTGCGATGGACCGAAATAGTATCGCGTCTAAGTCGCGAGTTAGTGATGTGAGGATTCTAGAGACTTGTTGAAAATACTTTTTTTATGAGTAGTCAAAACAAACATTTTTATAGAAAATCATCTGCTTTATTTTTCTTTAGTTTATACAGTTACTGCACCCGAGTGACAAAGTTATGGTTTATATACGACGAGTATTCTGCCATCGTCTCTACATATTCCATCTTTTGTTCAATTAAAAATTCCGTCTAAAGATTAATAATGAGGATAATTTTATTTAGTTATCTGCTGGTTCCTAAGCTACAGCTCTCCATTTACTTATCATCGCTCATACCGTTACGCTCTCCCCCATCTCCCCCATAGACTGACTCATAGGGGGGATATTTGCTACAGATGCCACGCTTGGCAAGCGGGTTGGCAACCGCAGTTTATTTATTTTTAGTTGTTATTAGGAAGACGCTGCTGCCCATCTCCTGATTTGTTTCCCTTTACTTTATGGGTTCTCTTAATGGAATTCTACATGTGTGAAGACAGTTCCTATAGAAATTATATTGCATTATGATGTTATATTTTTTAAGCAAATTATTATTTTACTTGCATGTTAAATATTGAACATCTAATTTCACTTAGAACGTAAAATAAATCATGTCTTAGGTAAGAAACAACTTAAGGTAGCAAATTAATATTATTTTTGGATAGTTATTTATTAATGGTGGTATCAATTAGGCCCCACTTTAAAGCGAAAAAAGATCTGAAAAAAAGCCTTCCAAATAAAACACGGAATTATGCTTTTCATTATGCGATGTCTTTTTACTACGTCATGTTGTCAAGCGAGATAAGTCGCATCCAAACGAAGGGTGTGGAAAGTGACTGCTACCATATTGAGCTGTTATTTTGTGCAGATGGTGGATACTGCTGTGGCCCGTAGACATCTACATCTATGCTCGATTAAGAATTAAAATGTAGAAGTGTTGTCAGCTTTACGCCGGTATTTTGTTAGAGCGTGGTCCTAATTCGAGTAGATGCGACCCATTCGTGCTGCACCCATGATACACCTTCACCTTTGATTTATCACGTATCTACCACGTTCAACTTTCCTTGTTATGTGCCTAGTTTATTTTAAATTTTCCACCAAAATTACGGGTTTTCTACCGACTTCAAAAACGAGGAGGTACCTACTCAATTCGACTGAATGTTGTTTTTTGTATGTTCTTTTTTTTATTATTTTTTTGGGTGTGACCTCATAACTTTTTTCTAGGTGAACCGATTTCGATGATTCTCTTTTTATTTGAAAGCTGATGACTTCTCATGTGGTTCCGTATAAAATATTTTTTTTATTATCAAGGTCTGACCAATAGTTTTTGAGTTATAACTAATAAATTCGGTTGTACAAAATTTTTAATTATTAGTTATTAGGAATCACTTTTCTATTTATTTAGAATAACAACAGCCTCACAATATTATAAAATCTAATTTTACAAATAACTATAAAGTTCGGTCAATAACAGTTATCCACTATTTATACTTAATAAGGATATGTATATTTGTACGTGGTAGAGCCATCCTGCAGCTATATTTCTGGTATAGTTGTAACACGAATGGGTCGGCTCGACCGGAGAAGGACCACGCTCTCACAGAATACCAACGTAAAATAGCAGCTTAATGCTGCTGTGTTTTGTATGGTGAGTGTAGAGAACCTGATACCCTTTTTACTGAAAACGAGGCATTCCATCTTAGTCATCACGGGTGACAACGCATTTGTATTTTGATTCGTAATCGAGGATAAATGTAGATGTCTATGGGCCACAGCAACTACTTACCATCAGGTAGACTGTGTGCTCGTTTGTCACCCTTATCCTATAAAAAAATGTACCTACAAAACCCTTAAATCAAATTATAATTGCATTAGAGCCTCCTCGCTAAATATGCATCACATAAACAATGTTATAATTACATACGCACCGTAATAATATGTAAAAATATATAATAATATAAAATTATTAATTAAGAAGTGTAATATATGTAATAATATGAAATTTATTTTAATTTTTTTTTTAAATTAAGATGTACTGGCAATAAAACAGAAAAAATTAAAACAATAGTGTATATTTAAGTGAAATTAAGCTTAATGTTTTGTTTAAATGTGTCCTTAGACCCAATCAAGGGATCAGCTCCTGTAAAGTTAGTATTATAAGTTCTTAGTAAATCTTATTTTGACCATGGTTCGTTGGGGAACATGGAATAAAGAAGCAAAGAACAAACAAGTGAAAAGCGAGCACACAGCCTATTTGATGGTAAATACTCTGACCCATAGACATTTACATCTATCCTCGATAAAGAATCCAAATGCAGATGCGTTGTCATTCCTGAGGACTCAGATGGAATGCCTTGTTGCCAGTAAAAAGGGTATCCGTTTCTCTACAGTCACCATACGAAACACAGTAGTATTGAGCTGCTAAGATGATATTCTGTGAGACGGTGGTCCTACCTCGGTCGAGCCACGTTCTACCACGTATAAAATTATGATTAGTTTTCGAAATGCAAAGGTTCATACTTTGAATACAGTAAGTAGGTACATCAGGGGGGATGGATACATTTACCCTGAAATGTATCCGTCCCCCCTGATATATATTACCTTTAATTAAGAGCAGGAATTTATTTACTGCTTTGCATTTTTGAACATATTTCACATTATAAAAGTTTTAATTCTATTGCAACTAAGATAGTTTCAAGACCTTTTGAACAGTATTTGTGATTCGAAAACCGAGTTTATTCTCAAGCTATAATAAAGTTCACATTTGTATGAATCACAATTTGAAATTTTTCCTGCTCCGTGATCTCGCCATACCTCATATACCATGGGTGTTGTGTAAGAAGCGACAGAGGGTAATGAAATAGGAGATGGACAGCAGTAGCTTGCTGATAACAAACTCGAAATAACAAAAAAACCGTGGTCTCCACCCACCCGCTAAGTATGGAACTATACCAAATATATCCCCTCTATGGGAACTATATGTTCAGCAGTGAAATGAATGAATGTACGATGGTGAACGCGGCTGAATTAGCAGTAAAAAAAAACAATTATAGATTTCTCAGTATGGAATTATAAGAACAATTTGGCCAATTAATTTCACATTATTTCTAATATGTTGTGCAACTTTACTCTTATATGAGAATAGATTTTTATACATTCGTGATATATACACTTAAATATGTTGCGTGAATAAGGACTTCTAAACCATTTCCATCACTAGGATACGTTGCAGATAACAGGCATGATGCTTCCCGTAAACCAGCAGTTTGTGACGTTATATGGAAGACATAACTGCGTATTAGCCGATCTTATTTTGAATGTATGTAATATATCTACTAGATTTTTTTGTAATGCGTTCCCGTGCAGGGAAGGCAAAGGCATCTAAGCTCATAGAGCTTATTAACAGGCAACACACATAAGTACATGATTTTCTTTTTTGTGCAGATCTATGGTAAAATGTTAGTTTAATTCTATTCTTTTTATAATAAATACTAAAAGAAGTGCTTTAATTTTCGATGTACACGTAATAATTAGTGGAGAAATACTTTTTTGCATACTATTTTTGTAATATTTTTCGTAGGGAAGGCAATTGACATAATATTACAATATAATCTAGACGAATGAGTTTTTTTTAATTCAATTTATTTAAAAAAATTGTTGTTATAAGGCGAACAATGCCAGTTTTTATTTGTAGGTAAGAATAGTTAACACGCAATTAAATTATATTATGCGCTCCATGGGATGATACTCTGATGATATAAGTAGTAAGCTAATTATAAAAATATGGAAGTAATTAATTATGAATTCTAAAATTATACGTATCTTAAATTGAGAATGTAATAAAAAAAGCATAAGTAGAGGTATTATGTATTGTAACTGATAATTTTTAAAGGAAATATGGGTATACAAAATAAGGCAGTTAGTTTTCGAAAAAAAAAAATATAAAAAGTTATTTTTATTTAATTTTAATAACTCTTTAATGTAATAGTTAAAAACCATGCAATTAAATGAAGAAATAATTTTACACTGATTAAATATGCTCCTTTATAATACAAATGTTTCAATCAGTGTTTGCTTCATAAATATCTAGACGATAAAACTCCACGATACAGATAAAAAGCGCACGCGGAAGGCGATTTGAAATGTAAAGACGTTCCAAGATCGCCGCATCGAAGCACCAGATCGAATGACAAGTTATGACATGCCATAAACTGCGATTAAATTAGTCAACGCTATTTAACCAGAGACGGAGAGCCGTCGGAAAAAATGTCGCCCGTAATAGAGTAAGGCTTGTTACCGCTACCGAATTAACAACGGCCGAGTATCGGTGATTACAACACCTCGAACTCCCTATACCTACCTTCTAGAGGCGGGGTCGTCACGCGATCAATACAGACAAGCCATAAGGTACATGCGGCATCTCGCTCTAGCACGAGGCATGCGCTATTAGAGTAACGGAGAGACGGCACGCCTCTCTCATTCGCGGGCACAATCCCCATGGGCGGACACCGCCTCCCGGCCGCCGGTAACTGACGCGACTCAGTCGGCGAGGGACAGTGTGCCGTGCGCGTGCGTGCACCGTCGTACAATGCGCAGCCCGTAGTCTGACACCCAGCCACGATGCTAGTGCCACCAGAGATGATGGCGGCCCAATCCAAACTAGTGTATCAAATGAACAAATATTACAACGAACGGGTCGCCAACCGCAAGGCGCAAATCGCAAAAACGATACACGAAGTTTGCCGAATCGTACAGGACGTGCTAAAAGAGGTGGAGCTACAAGAACCAAGGTTCATCTCTTCGTTGACCGATTACAATGGACGCTTCGACGGCCTCGAAGTGGTGTCACCGCACGAGTTCGAGATCGTCATCTACCTGAACCAAATGGGTGTTCTGAACTTCGTCGACGACGGCTCTCTGCCCGGATGCGCCGTGTTGAAGCTGAGCGACGGCAGGAAACGCTCCATGTCCCTCTGGGTGGAGTTTATCACCGCTTCTGGATACCTGTCGGCGAGGAAGATAAGGTCCAGGTTCCAGACCTTGGTGGCGCAGGCGTGTGATAAGTGCTCGTATAGAGATTGTGTAAAGATGATCGCTGAAACGACTGAAGTCAAACTGCGTATACGAGAAAGGTATATAGTTCAGATAACACCGGCGTTCAAATGTGCCGGGCTTTGGCCGCGGTCGGCTGCACACTGGCCTCTGCCAGCGATACCCTGGCCCCATCCCAACATCGTCGCCGAAGTCAAAACGGAAGGTTTCGACTTGCTCTCGAAAGAGTGCCTCGCTTTGCAAGGGAAGAATTCTGCGATGGAAGGCGACGCGTGGGTCTTGAGTTTTTTCGAAGCAGAAAACCGTCTCCTCCAAGGTGGATGTCGGAGGAAGTGTTTGAGCATATTAAAAACGATCAGGGACAGGCATTTGGATCTTCCTGGCAATCCAGTGACGTGCTATCACATGAAAACGCTTTTGTTGTACGAGTGCGAGAAACATCCCAGGGAACACGAGTGGGACGAGACAGCAATAGGGGACAGAATTAACGGGATATTCCTGCAATTGATCTCTTCGTTGCAGTGCCGCAGATGTCCGCACTACTTCCTGCCACACGTGGACCTGTTCAAGGGCAAATCGCCGACGGCTTTGGAAAACGCGGCGAAACAAGTCTGGCGGTTGACAAGGGAAATGCTCACGAATTCCAGAGCTTTCGAAAAGCTGTGAAGAAGCTAAAAGCTCTATTCCTAAAATTAGTCATAAGTGCAGTGAGTGAACTAGTGGTTAACCGAATATATTATTCACTCTCGAGTCATTTGTCGTAGATGTAGCGCGGGTTCGAATCCAATTGGAAATGTGACAATTAACGCGGAGACAGTGTCTTGTCGTCCGTACGTGCAAGTGAAAATTCCTTCGGACTGACTGTAAGTAGAAGTGATACTATTAACTTCGAATATTATTTGTGATATAATGTAAATAATTTACTTGTAAAATTTTAGTGATATTTAATTATTTGAAAATATTAAAAGAATCGTGTATTTATTTGACTGAGACAATTTAAAAGTAGGCTTATTATCTATATTATAATAAACCGATTGAAAACTATTTCTATCTTTGATTTCTGGGATCTATCCAATAAGATATTATGTCATATTTACCGAAACTAGCGACAAACACAAAGCAAAGCGAATACACAAAGCGAAAACCTCTTCACAAAAATATTTACAACTTTTTCCGTCTTATTCCTAACATGAGCTCAAAGCCATTCGCACTTTAATCCAACATTTTTTATAAAATAAAAGTAACAAATTAAATTACACAGTCCACCTGATGTATAACCTGAGCCCACGGACACCTAAAGTAAAAGCCCTGTAGCGTTAGGTTCGACCTTTTGAGCATTAAACGAGGCTGATTTCTCTATCGTCATATAAAAGTTATCCATCAAATAAATTATAACCTGACTGACTATAAAAGTGAAACAATTGAACTATTTTATTCTTACAACTCAGCTACAATTACTGTACTTCTTAATTTGATTGTGTTGTATCTTAAACTATGAATAATTTCAACTGAGAATTATTGAGAATCGTATATAAAATAAATAAAAATATAAAACCAAATCTTACTTACTCTTTGTTAGTTGAGGCTTGAAGTTAGTCACTATGTTATTTATTTTATTGCAGTCCTTTTGTGTTGGAATTTATAAGACACACCTAAAGTCGTTTAAGAGATACTTATATCAGCTTTTGTGACCTTTCAATAAAGATCATTGTCCTTACGGAAACAAGAATCAAAAAGCACAATATGAATAATTAAACACATATATACAACTACGTAGTACATTAAGTTTCATATAGAGTGTGTTTAATTACAAATGCCTAAAAAGCGTCAACTGAAAAGCTTGATAGAATTATATTACCTAAGTACTGGATGTTATTTCTGGATTTCGACAGTAGCGCCACCTACCGGGCCTAATTGTGAATCTAAACCATCCAGGGATCCAACTCAAACGCATACAAAATAATTTCATCGAAATCGTCGGAAACGATTTCGAGTTTTTAGCGACCGCCGCGGCATCGCTGGGTTTGTTAGATATAAGACAATCAGCAAAGACCATTCGATAAATCAATTTTTCTATGTCTCAAATATCTTCAAGTTTTCCGGATGAAATGTAGCTAGGCTATGCTGCTATTGCTCTCTGTCGGTTAGTAAAATTATATTACAATAGGTTCACCCATTCCAAGGATTATCCCGGACAAACGGACAGAAACATTTTTTTTAAATGGTTGTTCATGTATAAATGACACAAATAATCCCGTTAGCTTAATAAAAGACAGATTTTTTTTCTATATTACAGACATACACATCAATTTAATTCACATGTATATAGATGTTTAATCTTTAGTATTCACTCCTTCCAAGCAACCAAGCAATGCATGACAATTGGTGCATTCTTAGAAAGCTCATGATATACCAAAAAGGTTAGGATTGGATTTTAACTAATGTCCATTTCTTCGCTTTTTTAAATGGGTAAAAATTTTGGTAATAGGTTATTTTGTAAGTGCTTTGATATCAATATAAAAGTAAAGCGACGAGCTCAAATATTTATGAGGCAACCTATGCGGAAATCATTGTTCAGCGGCACTTTTGAAAAACCTTTAGGCTGTAATGAATTAATGAGCAATATTAATATAACGCACCCAATAATGTAACACGAATAATATTATAGAAAGCAAGAAAGGACCGACGGAACGCACCTCGCTCAACTTACGCTGTGGTGTTAGGCGAATGTATATATATCTAATATATAAAAGATAACGTTTGTTTGTTTGTATTTTATGCACTGCAATACCGTTAATTCTGCAATGCACTTGCGCGTAGGTTATAGGCATAGTACAATTAACTTACAGCAGGTGGCGCGCGTAACGTACCGACAAATTTATTTGAAAGTTATATTGTAGTGTTATCCTACTTACATATCATTTTACATTATTTTAAATTCATTATTTGTTTTATTTATTTATTTATTTTAATTAAATACATTATTTGTTTTGCCCTATTTTTGTTGTTTTGTTGCTAGGTTAGGTTCTTTTTTTTGTTTTTAATTGTCGCTTCACGACAATATATCATTCAATTTTAATCAATATATTGTCATCCCTAATTAAACAAAATAACTTTCCCAAATTAAAAACGATTTTGCACAATTATTTCTTCTGCGGCAACTGCGCGCCGGGTACCAGCTAGTTCATAGGTAATATAATCTTAATAACATTAAAAGATAGCTAATTCACAATGTAATTTCGACACTAATTAGATTTTTTTTATAGGACAGGAGGGTGACAAACGAGCACACAGCGCCGAGTAGGTACGCAAAGCATACTAATTCCTGTAATGATGTTATGGGAATAATAGGGTCTATATTGAATATTTAATAAGTAAGCCAGAAACGGAACACAACGAATGTCATATTTTTACTAATAACGAAGTGGATCCAGCCATTGTGAAAAAACTTCGTCTCACAGTCCACCTGATGGTAAGTGGATGCCGTAGCCCATAGACATGTACATTTATCCTCAATTAAGAATCAAAATGCAGATGCGTTGTCATCCCTGAGGACTAAGATGGAATGCCTCGTACCCAGTAAAAAAGGTCTCCGGTTCTCTACACTCACCATACGAAACACAGTAGCATTAAGCTGCTATTTTACGCTGGTATTCTGTGAGAGCGTGGTCCTTCACCGTTCGAGCCGACGCATTCGTGCTGCAACTATACAGCTATACTACTAATATAGCTGCAGCGTGGCTCTACCACGTATAGTTAAATTAGTACCTAATAAGTAAGTAGTAATAAATAGGTAAGTTAAATTAACACATATGTACCTGATTATTTATTTAATAAGGCGTGTAATAAAGGCGCACATCTAAGCCATCCAATAACAGCTTAATAAGCTATAGTATCATATCATATCATACCAGCATCCAATGGGAACACATACATTAATTATGCAACATCATAAACATATAGTGCAAGGTAAGGGATCACTCGTAGCATAACATTTATAAACACAAGAATGAGGATTTTTTCTTCTTATTTGCATTCAAACATCAAACTACTACAACATAATTTAAAATCAAAATTTTGTACAACCGACTTCAATATAAATTATTAAGAATAACTCAAAAACTATTGGTCAGACCTTGATCGAATTTATATGGGACCACATGTGAAGTACCAGCTTTGAAATAAAAAGAGAATCATCGAAATCAGTTCAACCAGAAAAAAAATACAAGGTAACACATATAAAAAAGAACATACAGTCGAATTGAGTACCTCCTCCTTTTTGAAGTCGGTAGAAATGTGACTTCTGACATAATGCTAATAATAAATAATAAATTAACTGCATACATGTTTGTTCACATATTACTTGATTGAAGTAAAATTCATATATGTTCAAGAGACAAAAGAAAATAAAGGTCCACAAATTGCACTAGAATACTTCGTAAACTCATCGAATCTATGACACTATCAAAATAGGAGACTTACACAGGTTGAAGAGGATGTTTGATGATTAAATGTCGAAGTGTGATGGTTGATGAGGTGACACAGGTCCTAACACAGGTTAATAAGTTTATAAATTTGGGGAAATCACAAGTCTATAGAGTTAATAAAACTAACGAAAGGCATTTTATTTACTTCGAATTTTGTACCGTTGCTAAATCTCATATGGTATAATGTAGTAAGAATGTAAATAATGTACCTATTTCTGCTATAGATGAACATGGGGTCTAGTATCTATTTGGCTCTCACGATACAGGTCTGCGTGCCTTGTGTGAGAACCGCTGAGAGCTTTGTTATGGTGCAAACTGTCTAATAAATTATTTCCATTTTAATACAGTAAGGCATGCTTGAGAAGCTACACTATGGTATATTGGACTAAAAATAACTTTCAATAAATATTATTAATAATGATTATTGCACAAAAAAAAAACTATTTCAGTTTCTATATCGTATGGTACCTCAATAACGGTTATTTATTTATTTATTCTTATTGCATTCTCTATTACAAAAGGATACAGATTGCAATGAGAGATTCTTTACCAGTTAACACATGGAGTGGTGAAAGTTTGACGTAGGTGTAGCAATATAAATACTAATAAAATAAAAAAAAAAGGTAAATAAAAACAACTTCACAAAATTATTATTTTTTATAGGATAGGGTGACAAACGAGCACACAGTCCACCTGATGGTAAGTGGTTGCTGTGGTCCATAGACATCTAGATTTATCCTCGTTTGCGATGAAAATGCAGATGCGTTGTCACCCGTGAGGACTAAGATGGAATGCCTCTTTTCCAGTAAAACGGGTCTTCAGTTCTCTACACTCACCATACGAAACACAGCAGTGTAAAGCTGCTATTTTACACTGGTATTCTGTGAGAGCATGGTCCTTCCTCGGTCGAGCCGACCCATTCGTGCTACAACTAGGTATAGGTACTACTAATATAGCTGTAGCATGGCTCTACCACGTATAAATATTATGTAAATATTTAAATGCAAAAATACATTTTACAGATATATAAACGGTTGTATATTTAAATTCTTAGTCGGGAATAGATGCTGACCATGAACCACAGCATCTACTCACCATCAGGTGGACTGTGTGTCCTTTTATCAACCATACTCGTATAAAAAATAAGTAACACTAAACACATCAGCGTCTTTATTATGA